CTCGCCTATGTCCAACACCAATCCACTTGTGTCTAGCGTGGATGAGGTAGAGAGCCACTGTACCAATCATTTCTAATGTAGCTAGACCTATGCCCAACCTCATACAAGTAGAGAGCCTCTACTTGTCTCATGCCTGATGCCATAAAACTTACACATGGCATCATCCAAGCAAAGAGACTTTGTCTTAATCACGCTTGATGCCACTCATCTTGGGTCTGACATCACCAAGTCAAAGAGCTCATTACCAATTCCGACATGACCAAGTTAGAGAGTTCTTCACTAATTCACATTTGACACTACCAATTCCATGTTCGATGTCATTAAGGTAGAGAGACCCTAACTTGAACCATGTCCAGCTCTATGAAGGAATACCATAAAAGTGTAACGAACCGCCATGGTCTCTACACTTAGTGGAATCGCACTACTACTAGTGAACTAAGATAAATAATAAAGTTGGATAGCTTATAAATACAAAAACATAAAAAATATATATGAATCATTAAATTTTTACGTATTAGGTATTTATACAGTTATCTAACAACCCTCATATTTGGCCTCTCAAGAATGCTATTTCACGACACTTCACTTTTCAACATGTGTTGTCCTTACTGCACAATTTCTGGGAAACTTCCTAGAAGGTCACCCATCTGTATATTACTCCAAGTCAAGCACGCTTAACTGTGGAGTTCTAATGAGATAAATTACAAAAAAACAGATGCATGTTGTCAGTATAAGTAGTACAAATTAATTCATTTAAGTCATCCTCAACTATACAATCTCATACTTATACTATCTTTGAATCCCTCTTATTTTGGTGTGTCTGGACTGCTATAAAAATATAAAAAAATATATAATAATTATATTACAAATAATTATAATTATAATGTTGTGAAGTTGATGTGTGTTGAAAGTTGATAAATGTTGCTATGTTACAGTGTTGTTAAGTTGTGTTGATAAATAATTGTGTTGTGAGTCGTTGTGTTAACTACATGTTATGATGAAAAGTTTTATTATTGATATACTAAGTTGGTATAATGATAAGTTGTGCGACCTATGTATCGAATTGGTTATGTTGATGAGTTATATGTGGTGTGATATGCTAAGTAGTTGTTGAATCATAAGTTTATGTTAATTGTGGATATAGTTATACATTCTTCTATAGTATGTTATTTTTGTTAAGCATACATTTGAATTTTCCTTATTATTGAACTACAATAATCATATTTATATGGGGGCAGAACAAGAATAAATTGGAGGATGAACATGTTTTAGGGCCATGTTGGAGGGTGATGGCGTTGTTTAGACTACTCTGATGTAGCTTTTGTAGTTTGTATATAGTAGTTATTTAACTGACAACTTAGAATTTATATTTTCAACTTGAAATATTGTTATATGAGGAGGGTTATAATAACAGCGGTGTAACTTTTACTAAGTATTACACCGCTCAACAACTTTATATTAAATGTGAATTTTGTAAATCCAACCGTTAGATTGAAAGTTCATATCACTTTATATGTTTATATCAAATTTTGTTAAAATTAAACAATAACTTGAAGGTAATCAACGTGTTCATATTTTAGTATATTTTGAAATGAATATATTACGTCAATTTTGTTTATAAAAATAAAGTATCAAATCATCTTGGATTAATATAAAATTTTGTATATATGAGCTACGAGTAAAGAGCTTTCAATCTAACGGTTGAATTTACAAAATTCATATTTAATACAAAGTTATTGAGTGATGTAATACTTAATAAAAGTTATATCAGTGTTATTATAACCCTCCTCTTATTATATATATTGTTGTAGCTCCACCAAGGAACCTTTATGTTTTGCAATTTATCATTTTCTTATACATATATGTTGTTGCATGTATATATAGAAATTGTTTACGTGATAATCTTAGATAATTATATTTATGTTTTTTTGCTATTTGGTTGCTGAGTTGTAAAATATAGACACCAAACAAGTAGTTACATAATGTAACGTAGTTAGTAGACTGGAACGGGGCGTTCCCAGATTGGAACGGGGCGTTCCCAGATTGGAACGGGGCGTTCCCAGATTGGAACAGGCCGTTCCAAACTACTAAAACAAGGGTGATTTAGTAGCCCAGAACGGGCCGTTCCCAAACTGAAACAGGTCGTTCCAAACTACTAAATAGGCTTATGAATCTTGGACTGGAATGGGCCGTTCCAAAGTAGTCATTGTGAGTTAAATTCAACTCCAGAACGTACCGTTCCGGTTTTAGAACGGGCCATTCTAGACGTGCCAGAACGGGTCGTTCTGATTTCAGAACGGGCCGTTCTGCATGTGAATTTTACACATGATGAAGGATCCTAGAACAGGACGTTCCAGATTTGGAACGGGCTGTTCTGGCCAGTTTAGACTTCTATAAATAGAGGTTGTGCAGTTGAGGAGAAGGAGAGGTTTTTAGAGAGAATTTTTAGAGAGAAGGACTCTGGACTAGGAAGCTTGCTTTGGGTGGATTGAAGTCCTAGGTTGAGCTTTGGAAGGGAAATTCCACTTCTTCTCAGTTCTTGGCTATTCTGAGCCAATCTTCAGGTAAGGGAAGGTAGATTGTATGTTGTTTGGTTGTATGTGAGTTTAGGAACTCATATGGAGTTGTATAATTATATTGAGATGTATGATGAGTAGAAAGTGAAATGAAAAAATGCAACTTGAGTATAGTGAAGTTGTTTACAAGTTGTGTGTTGATCTATGATAAACGGCCCGTTCTGGCTACTAAATCAGCCACATTTTTTTTTCCTACGTTACACCTAGCACGATGGTGATTTTTGCACGTAACATAATCACATATCTCAAACCAACTAGCATGCAAATCAAATTTCAAAGTATATATAACATGTGCAACTCATTTTCAGAAAAATATGATGCATGCAACCATCATACATCAAAATCACTAATTCTCTACAATACACCTTTAAGAGTAACATTTCAAGCAAAACCTCTCATCTCATGATTTTAATCAATTCAACCATCAAAATGATCAATTACAGTTAGCATTAAACAATTATCAACCAACGACATCAATCAACAAAGTTCTCTTACCTCAAGTTGCTCAGCAAGCAAGGGAAAAGGAAGGAAAATCGAAAGTTTTTAGGATTATCGTATGACTTTCTCCACTTGAGATTCTCAACCTCTAAGTCTTGAATCTCCAATTTCTCAACTCTACTTAATTACTAGGAAAGGTCTAATGCTCTAAGGAATTTAGAAGAATAAAAAAGTCTTCCTAGCTTCATAGCTTCTCTCTGTAAGTTTCTTAGGATATGAACTAATTATGAAGTTTATATCTTAAGAAAAATCTCATATACCCTTTCCTAAAATTGGTCAACTTGACCCTACCTAAAACTACCTTGTTAGCAACTTAACTTTCAAGAATCCCTTGGCCATTAGAGCTTTAAAGCAATAATAAATACAACAATTCAACAATTAAACAATACATATCATATGATTTATCAATAAAGTATAAAATCACAGTGTTACACAATCTGACTCTCTTATTAGATCATTTATGCAATCAAGTTAGTATGAACCGGTATGATGTAGTTGATTTTCTTAATAAACCTTAATTTCAACTCAAAATGAATTATTTTATTTACTTATTTTAAAATTTTGAATTTTACATGTTTTTTGACCAAGTTGCATTTTCCTCCTATAACAAAAATATTAGTAATTTTGGATGAGTTTGAGACCCGTATCGAGAACTTATGGTATATTTAAGGCTAAAGTAACCATCGAAAGCAACATGTTTATTTATGTTATATTTGACTCAAATATTTTTTATATTATGTTTATAATTTAAAATTATATTTAATTAAATCAATTTATATAGTTCAACCGTTGATTTGCTTATTGATTTGCTTACTTAATACCTTGACCAAATTGACTACCACTCTAAGTGTTAACCATGGTTATATGATATCAATATAACATAAATATTGATGTGAAAATACATACATATCAATATTACCTATTTAAAAATAACTATTTTTATGTTACCTGAATATTAAAAAAATATTCTAAAAAAATGATATTTTATTAATAAAAATGAAAAATATATTTTATTAAATAAAAATAAATAAATAATACTTTTGAAATTGAAAATATCTCTGTTTGTGTGTAACTATATTTTTATGTTACATTAATATTTTTAAAAATTCAAAAAAAAAATGATATTTTATCACCAAAACTGAAAAATACATTTTATTAAATAATAAATAAATAAATAATATTTTGAAATTGAAATTATGTCTGTGTGTAACTTCAAATAAGAACTCAAATGGAATAGACACTTCCTATCAAAATTAATTTATCTAAAAAAGGATATCTTTTATTCAATAAAAATATATCAATATTTAAAATTAAAACTAAATATAATTTAAATGTAAACAAAAAATAAAATAAAATAAAGATTATCTAGCTTAATAAATAATAGAATAATTCTTAAAAATATTTCGGTCTATCCATTTGAAAGAAATTACTAAACAAAATCCATGTCACAAAATTCACTTGATATTCTTATTAATAAAAAGAACACATTAAACTCTATTAATATTGCATAACTTTCTTAATTTTAATTTGTATTGTAAATTACAAAATAGTACATAAAAAATCAATTTTCATTTGAGAGATAAAAAAAAATTTTCAATCAGAGAAAAAAAAATTATAAGAACTAAAATTACTTATGCCTGTTCAAATTTATGCCTATTTTCATTCGAGTTAAAACTTAATTTTATATAATAAGAGTGGATTGAAACTCTTAGAATAAATACAAATTCTAACAATGCGAGTTAGGACAAAGGGCTTTATGGCTTCATTTCCAAGGTGCAAAGGTATAAACCAAGCTCCTTATTTCCTCACCAGTGACTGGTGGTTCCATAGAGGTTTTAAAGATTGGATTAATTCCATGTCATACATTGTCATTTGAGTGCTAAAACATGTATTAAGGTCACATTTGCACAACTTGGGTTCTCACTCTTACAGTAAATTCCATCTTCATAATTTAGATAGTTCTTTTGAATCTCATGAGAGCCAAAAATTTGTTGAGGTATAAGATGTTATGCTAGGTTTGTGAAATTCCATTAATCCAATTAAAAGTACAAACATCCAAGACATTTGCTTCAAGGCTGTGTCTTCACTACTACAAACACCTAAAATGAGGTTATTGATTGACTTGCAAGAAAGGACTGAATTTCATTGTCAACACTAGTCTTTTGGTAGTTGTAACCATTAACCAAAGTTCATACCTTTGTAGACCAGAGAAAGCTGGCACTTTTTCTAGGGAAGCATTGCCTCTGCGCCTCTCACCACCCTCTCTCATTTTATACAAACCATCACCAGAGGCAACAGCTTCATCCCCACAAAAGGGCCTTTTTTTCTCTACAAGGGTTGCTCCCCCTGGCCAAAATATTCACAAGACAATAACTTTTCTTCTTCTAGAACATTCTTGTCATGCCATACTGAACAGGGCCAATTTTTCTGTGAGCAGTGGCCCCAGCTGCAGCACTGATTGCACCATAAGCCTTTGGCTGCAGCAAGTTTGGTTCTATGGCTATTTGATCACCTTGCTCTAACTTGTTAACTCCTGCCCTTGTCATGAAAAAGGGATTTGTGTCAATATTAATAGCTATGTCTGGTGCCATCTTGGCATTGACTCCACATTGTTGTTGTGATGCATGTTTTGCTTGCAAAGGCACACTCTTGTCAGCTTCTGTTGCTGCTGGTCTTTCTTGGCTTCCATTGCTGGGTCTTTGATAATAATATGCTGGGGGAACGGGCTGAGTAGGAAGCACAGAACCTCTGATGAATGACCTAGGATCATAAGAATCCTTGACAATGTTACCATACTCGTATGGAACAACGGGCCCGACAACTTTACCAGGTTTTGCTGAAAAGAAAAATAAGTGTTGGTTATTGATCAGTGATCATGCACATAAGCTTACTGGACTACAAGGATAACAACCCTATACCAAGTGGAATTCTTTGTGGTCCCTGCATCGACCTTGGCAATGGAATTTCTGAAGCATCTCTGGAGTTCTTGTTATATTCCTGGGCGGTAGGACGGTTTTTGCTGGAAGCAATGTTTGTTTGCTCTTTTGGATGTACTGTATTTGAATGTACAATCGTTGACCTGTCAATAGGACAAAAATATGAGAATATAATAAAATATATTATGCTCCTCCTTATGAATGAGCATTAGTGTTGAGTCATAAATAGCACAGCTTTGAAAACCAAACCAGAAAATCGGTCAAATATCTGATTCAAATACTGGCTATAGGAAAACTGGTTATAGAATTAGAAGCAATATTATTGCTTAACTATTATTATTATTTTAAAATATTGGTATAGTTGAACCATTAAAGTTTGAACCAATGTCTTGACAGTCTAATGATTAGTCTAATTTTAAAAACATTGATAAATACTTAAATAGCATGGAAGCAAATGCAGCAAGGAGTTGGTGAGGTAGATTTTGGCCAACCCACTTGTCATTTCCGGCACACTATGATAAGACATTGAAAGTGCAGCTAAATAGTATGGTTGGGAAGTTACTTCAATTGAAAGTGCTAGATAGCTACAGGTTACCATACTATAAACCCTGACTCCATAAAGAAATGTTAGCAGGCCTGAGTAACAGATCTGTAACTCCTAGTATATAGTATATACTACTCATCCACAACATACTGATCAAAGTTGTTGGCATTTTATGTATTTCATTTTAGAAAGAGACTCAGTGACATCTACGAACAATAACACCATTGACAGGTCTACAATTGTAACTTTACTTCAACATTACTCTGCTTTGTAACAAAAATCCAATAGGATAATTAAAGTTTAATTGCATAACAGTATTTTCTAAATAGTGAGCATAATCAAATTAGTAATTTTTATTATTGGACATTCAATTCTGTGATTACCGTTTTAACATAAGCATAATCTAATTGAAGTGACCATTTATCAACAATAAAGAAAAATTTCAATGCAACAGAAACCTTATGAAATACAATGAGCAACTGATTTATGAATCAGAATTACCTTGGAAGAGAAACATGCTTTCTGTCAAGCGGCATAACAGGACCATTTTTACCATTTTCCTCTAGATGAGCAAACTGCTTTCTGAATTGATCAACAGCACTGTAAAGAATACCCAAAAAATAAGACTTAGTTGAAATTCCAAATTGAAAATCATAAAGAGGGCAAAAAGGATAACATAGCATAAACAGTAGAAATGCAATTCAGAAATTAAAAACCTTGGATAAAGAAAATTAGTTCTCTCTGTTCCATTCATGTAGTCTTTCAATAGTTGAGGATGATACTCTAGTATCTCACGGAAAATCAGCTCTCTAATTTCTTCCTTTGTGACCCTTCGTCTTTCAAATTCAAATTCCATTTTCGTGATAGGCTGGCAGGATGGTTCCCTCTCAACTTTTGCCAGTCCCTTGAAGTAAGGATCAGCCAATGCCTGAAGACACAAACATTTAAAATATCATGATCATGAAGGTCAAGACATCATATTATACATAGCTATTCACTTATGATTCATTATACATTTTATTGTCCTAATAAAAAAGACAAGCTCAATTAGTAGTAAAGGATACAACTGCAATACATTTCAATGCATGCGCATAAGTAATAAAGCACAATGTAACAAACCTCTTCAGCAGTAGGCCGGTCTTTTGGATCAAAAGCCAGCAACCTTTCTAGCAGCCTTAGTGCTAAAGGATCTGCATTGGGAAATTTTTGAGCAAACGGTACGGGCTGCTTTTTCCTCATGCTAGTTAGGTATCTCCTTGCCTTCTCGTTTCGTACCTGCATCCATCACCAAAAAAAATGTCACAATATGGTATTGGTAACTTTAGATTCAGAATTAAGCTACACAACAGAAATGATTATTCCACAATCGAGAATAATTTACCCGTGATATAGTATCCAGTGAAGGAGTTCCAAGAAGATCTGTCATCAGATCCAACTGATGGACTACATTTTTTCCAGGAAAAAGTGGTTTTCCTGTTAATACTTCAGCAAAGATGCAACCTATACTCCATATATCAATTGCTGGCGTATACTGCATAGATTTACAAACAGTTAGACCTACAAAAAGTGTATATGAAAACCGGTACCATTATGATGGTCACTTTGCAACTAGATAAAATGAAAAGTTCAACATAAACAATTTAACAATAGCAAATACATGCATAAATAGAGTAATAGACATTTAATCACAACACTGTTACACCATTTTCCCGGGAAGCTCAACAAGAAATACAGCCCCATGTTTACAATGAGTGAATTCAATCTCCACAACCCTATGACATGGTAACGGACTAGTGACACCAAGTGGAATGTGACAAAAAACAACTGGGTATATGTATCTACTTATAGATATAAGAAATTTGCTTCCACTCACAAGATACTAAATTTACTCATCAAACCTTGTATTGCTGCTATCAATAATCGTGATTATTGACAAAATTAAAGGTTAAAGATGCTGAAAAAACTGCAAGTACAGACAGACATACACAATAAACTTCACATTAGATTAATTATTTACTATCAAACGTTAAGGTACCAATGTATCACAGATTTTCCTAACAAAGACAATGATCTTGCAATCAATACACAATACCCAGATTAGTTTGACGAAAGATACAAACACAACATAAACACATATAACTAGTAGATTAATTACAGATATTGTTCTTTAGTCTTAGGTCATATTGTTAGCAAACTGAGAAAATAAGATAAAAGAATGAAAGTAACATCAGCTGATATGAAATTAGAATAATTGTGTGCTAAGTCAAAATTATGAACACATGCAGTCTCTCACTTTCACAATGTCCACAGAAATCTGGAATAGCCATACCTTCGAGTAAAATGACCCACATAGCTCTGGAGCTCTATACCACCTTGTAGCAACATAATCCTACAGACATGTGCATTAAACAAGCAAGAAACATCAGTCCCTTCCCTCCAAAATTATGAGAAATTTTAAATAAAAATAATAGCAACAAAAAAAAAAAGACAAGTAAAGCTGAAATAAATTAAAATGTACAAAGGAAACAACGTTGCAAATATTTAGAAAGAATACCGTCCAAAATATAGTTGTTGGTGTGTCACTGAAGGCAACTCTGGCTAACCCAAAATCACAGATTTTAAGTTTACAGTTTGCATTTGCCAGTATATTCTTTGGCTTCAAATCTCGATGATAGACATTTGCTGCATTGTATAAGATGAGAATAAGAATTTGATCAGCAATATTGACATCAATGCTAGTACACTCATTAAGAAAATGAAAACATAAAGTACAACAAGGGCATCGGGAAGGATCTCGCATTTTTACAAAAAGTATGCAATTTTAAGATGATTCAAGGGTGAAGTGGAAATAAGAAAGGAACAAAAGAAACCATAAAAGAAGATAATGTGCACGATCCTGACATATCCATTGGCAGGGATGCTGAGAAACTATTTAGTTTTCACATTTATGACTCATGGATGTAAAAGGCACATGTTATAGGCATTAGTAACACAATGTGCCTTAATATATATACAAGTAACTACAACATATTGATGATTACCTGTGTGAATATACTTTAATGCTCGGAGTAATTGATAAAGAAAAAACTGGTAGTGTTCTTTTGTCAAGTCATCATTGGCTTTGATGACTTGATGAAGATCAGACTCCATGAGCTCAAAGACAACGTAAATGTCCTTGAAGTCCTTCCTTGAAGGAGGCAGCATAATGTGTTTTATTTCAACAATATCAGGATGTCGAAGAAGTCTAAGCAGCTTTATCTCGCGAAGAATTCGAGCAGCATCAGATATATGCTCAAAGATGTCATGAATCTTCTTAATTGCCACTTTTTCACCGGTATGAGTGTCAATGGCTGAACAGACAACACCATAACTTCCCTTCCCAATGACTTCTTGAATTTTGTACCGGTTGGCGTCACCATATTCAGAGAAAAAATCCATCTCCGCTGAACTCTGTAATGTAGCATATTCCATATAGCAAAATCAGGCATGTTAGAATTTGAAAGTCTGGAAAAATTCACAAATCAAACCAAAGAAATAAAGTAAAGCTAAAATTTCAATAAAGATAGAAATTAAAATTAAAAAATTGTGTTTTTGATTAGAGAAATCACATTATGGAATTACCACAGTATCAGAGAGTCATAAACTCAAAGAATAGTCAGACTTTATTTAGAGGAAAACAATCATATCCACATACCTTAGAATAACAAAAGCAAACTAACATATATAGTACATAAAAACAATCATTGCTTTCATGGAACCACCAAGAAAATATAGCATTTAATAACAATAAATATATCGCGAATCATTTGGCACTCCAAAATCAAATACATATTTATTCTTGAATTTACCACTTCACGTTCAACTCAGTCTAATTTACATCGAAGCAAACTAAAATTTTCTATTCTCTTTCAATTCAACAGGAATGTAAACACTGATTTTGCAAGATCAAGCCATCAACATGCATGATATCCACATTTTTTTTCAATGACTCCAAATTCCAAAAGCCATATACAATTTATTATACATAATTAATTTTTAAAAAAAATAACAAAATCGTTTCACAAATCTATAAAAGAAAACGAATTAAATCCGGAAAACGTGTCAAAACTGACACAAAACATGAAACAGGAAATGCACACAGAAAGAAAAAGGAAAATCTAGAAACGTAACGAAACAAAACAAATAGTTGACAAAATCTGATCCGATGGGGGATAAACCTGTAAGCAAATAGAACAGGAAGGCCACTTGGAATTGACACAAAATCCACAAAGCACAACTCAATAAGTGTAGAAAGAGGGGGAAAATTTGGAGTCAATAGAACATCCCAAAAGAAGCTATCAAATCAGTTAAAAAGAGCAAGTAAGTTTCATCAAACCCTCAAAAAAAATGTTGAAAAAGAAGATCTTGCGGTCCCAACCTTGCCGTTATCCCTCATGTGTAACAGAAACATTCTAGAGAGAGAGAGAGAGACAGAAACCGAATCATGGATAGACTCTCATGAGAAATCATAAGTCTAAGCTAACAAACAACATGACCCCATTGAAAAAATTCTCAGCACCCACCATTCATTCACCAACACAGCCATGAGCTCATCACACTGTAAAATTTCCCATCTCACACACCATTCAAATTACAACACCAAACACAAAGCAATCAGTTTTCCCAATCCCAATGGCACAAGACAATCAAAACACACAGAGGAAAAAAAAAAACTCGACCTTTTTCCTGTGATCTTGCTGCATTTTCCCCTGACACCCACAAATTCTCCAAAACCTCCCTATGGGGTAAAGATCAAGCCCAAACTTCACAAAACCCAGGTCCCAAATTCAAAAAAACAAAACTTTAACCCTCAAACTCACCCACATTTCCCCCACCTACCCCTGCTCATTATCACAAACCCACAACAATCCCAGCTTATTCTCCCCTCCCCAAAACCTTTCTTCACCAAACATAGAACCCAATTGAGATCCCACATGCACCCCACCTTCCAAAACCACCAATCTTCACCACCCTCAATCATACACTCCACCCCAGCAACGAAATCACCCTCATTTTCACAACCCCACTACAAACACAAACGCAAAAAACCACCTTTCAGCTACCCACAACAGAAAAGCCCCAATTTGTCACACCCCACCAAGCCAAACGAGAAGAACAACAGTAGAAGCAGGTGCCAAGAGCGTGGAGTGCACAAGATCTGCGTACACCGACAAAGAGAGAGAGAGAAAATAAAGAGTGATGAGAGAGAAAGAGAAAGAGAGGTGAATTTTATTTTTAGAGTTTTGAGGCTTAAATCTAGTTGGTGCCTTTGTGTATCTTATCCGTAACGTATACAATGAAATACGTAAATACACACATACATACGGTGATACGGGGTGGGTATTGTTAAATGTTATATACGAATTACGAAATTCGGGTGCGTGTAAATCAAGGAAAGGGTGAGGGCATTTTGGTAAATTGGCGTGTCACAGGGAAGATTCTCTCTACCTTTTGTGGAATTATTGTTACCTGTCCCCTCTGTGACTTACGGGTGGGATGTGGGACGGTGACATGCCACGTGTCGGGTTTTGAGTGGACTGAGAGGGTGGGTGGAGGGACACGTGGCGGTGCTGAAATGTTGGAGGGTAGTGCTATCATCGTCTTATTATTTGCTTTGTCTGTACATAGTGTGGAAGGATTAGGATGAGAATGTGGTGCCACTTCACTTTGCATAAGGTTGCCTTTAATTTTTGCAGAATATAAAAGTTTTTTACTTGGATATACTTTTTAATATATCTACATACTTTTTTTTTTAGTTTTATAAAATCATTTTCTTAAAAAAAATATGTTCCTTGCTCCTTCTTGTTTTATTTTATTTCTTATAATATATAATTTTTATGGTTCTATTAATATAATAAAATAAATCAATTTTACCAGAATTATTTGAAAAATAAGAATTTGATAAAAAAAATAAATAAATAAATAAAAGACATATTGTAGAAATAAAAAAACATATTTAAGTCAAAGTTTTTCTTATATGATTTTTGATGAATTTTATAAATTATTATATTAAAAATCAATTTTATTTTATTAATATTGTAAAAGTTTTGTACTAATTTTTCAAAATACTTGAATTATTGTACTGTGTGTGTATTTTTATATGCGAATCTATCGTGCCGTATTTGATAATATATTGTAATAAATTTTGTTTCATGTATTTATGTATATAAAAAAAAAACTTTTATATTAATAGTATATGTCTATCAATCTCATGTTATTATAGGTTTGTGTGTATTGTATGATTATTAATTTGTAAGAATCACTTTAAAAATTATATACAAATTTTTTGATTAAGAGTGTAAACAATTTTATTTGGAAAGATTGTAAAAAAAAACTATATATTTAAAGTAATTCATAGAAAAATAATAATTTGTAGTTATATAAAAATTTGTAATTAAATAATGATATAAAAAATATTTATATTATATTATATATATATATATATTCATAAATCAAAATTAAATTTTATTTATTACAGAAAATTAAAATCAATGGTTCTAAATTTTGAAAGAATAAAAATAAAGTTTTTTTTTTTACAAAGATTGCTATCAAAATTTACTCATTTTATATATACTTAAAACATACTTCATTTGTTAGTTATTTTATGCAGACCAAAAAAATCAATAAATTGATAAAATAATAATAATAATAATAATAATTTTATAAATGAACATTATGATTATTTTTTTTTCTTGAAACGAATCAATATAATCCTATAACCATTTTCTAACTAATATTAATAGGGGTATAAATAAAATAAATAAATAAATAAATAATATTACATTGAAAAATTAACAAGCACAATTATTTTTTTACTTAATTTTTTACTTATTATGAAACAAAGTGAATATTTAAACTATTTTAATAATTGGATTCAAGTCCAAGCATTAAATGTGCAACTCTATTAAATATTAATAAAAAAATGTTAGTTTCTTGTCCATTATGATTTTTATATAGATAAAACATAATTCTCCTTATGAAAGATAATTATCATCTCTACCTAAAAAAATGTATATATTTCCTTATTGATAGGTATAATGACTATTAAAAGAGTGAAAGTAAAGAAGAAAAGAAAATCAAATTGCAAACAAAATAAAAAGGATTGAAGATGTAACTTTATTTTATGTACACTAAAAATATATTTAAACTTTATTTTAATAATTGGAGTCATGTTCAAGCAGCAACTCTAATAAATATTTGCACAAAAAACTTTGTTAATTTTCTATCCATTATTATTACATAGCTAAAACATAATTTTTTACCTATTAAAGCTAACTATCATCTAAAAAAATCTATAATTTTTTATGGATGGGTATAAAGGCCAATAAAAAAGTAAAAGCAAGGAAGAAAGGAAACCAAATTACATATAAATAAAAAGGAGGGTTTGTTTCATAAAAAGTAATTGTTCATAGAATGGATTATTATTAGATATCAATCTTTGGAAATTTATAATAAATAATATGTCTATCTTAGAATATAGGTCAAGTCGATACTTTCAAGATTGATTCTCATTAATTTAAAATAATATTTGGCAAATAAAAATCATATTTTACAAACGTAATATAATTTTTGATTACTAACTTTAAGATACTATATGAAGTTATTAACTTTGAGATATTGTATGAAGTTATCTATATTGTGAGTCATGCGCATTGATCAAAAGAATATTATGTTTAGAAACTAATATGAGAATATAGTGTAGAAAAATATAAACATATTTGCAAAATAATGATTAAGTCATATTAGAAGAATTTAACATACTAATAAGTTAATGGTCAAAGTAGTATTAAATTTGATTTCTTTTAATAAAATACCATATTCAAATCTTGAATATAAAAAAATATAATTAAAAAAATAGACCTTATTAAAAGTTGATCAATCAAATTTATTACGTAAAATACAAGATAAATTAACCATTTTTTATCATATTAAAAAAATTATAAATATTAAATTATTGACTATTCAATTGTTGACTGAATATATATTAAAAAAATAATAATAAATGCTTATATATATCAATTAATTTTATTGACCAATTTAAAGTGAGTATTAATAGTTATTGATAAAAAGAAATAAGTATTAAATTGTTGACTAATAGCTAAAACGTCAACAAATAAAAATAAATAAATTAAAAAAAATGCATTCACGTAATAGTAATCGCTTAAGTAGTTGTTGACCTCGGTAAAAAAAAAAGTGGCTGTTGACCAACATCATGGTTTCTTTTTATCTATTCATTTTCCAATGAATATTATATTTTTTTATGTTATCTTAAAAATTTGAGATAACATTAAATGTTACCTTTTCAATTGTATATTTATTTTTATTGAATTATTAGATATTCTATATACTTATTATCATATACAAAAGAAAAATAATAATATTAAATTAATATTTTATTCTATGTAATTCAAGATAAACTTTTATCATAAAAGTTATATTTTATGGGCTTAAATATATCTTTAGTTCACAAAATAATCATGTTCTAATTTTGGTCTTCATAATAATTTTTCTTTACTTTTTATTCCTATAAAATTTAGAATTATTTTTTTTGTCTCTATTATATAATTATTTTTAACTACTTATTTGTTTATTAAAAGGATCACTAATCATTATAAATGTTATTCATAATTGTTAATAATATCATATTAGTATGTGAAACCTCTAAACTTTTTTACATATCTTTAAGATAAATGTTATTTATCTATCTTAAAATCACAGTTAGGGACTTAATGTAATGACCTAATAGGTAAAATACACTTATTATAGTTTAGCTATTACACAATGAAAAGATTCAATATCATACAACTATCATAAAGTTATCATGCCAACAATTACCAAGTTAATTATGTAATCTACATGTGTATAGGACAATAAATAAAACAACGGAAGATATAAATTCCCATTGAGGTTATACATATACCCCTATATACATATATATCTTTGACATAATTACACAATTTTAAGCAAAAGAACTGTATTTTCAATTGGCACCTTTATACAACCAGAATTGCATAAGAGTTATGTCACCACAAAAATCTAGTCATCTCCAGCATAATCCCCCAACATCTAGACAGAAAAATCCTACTAATATTATTTTGCTCACATACCAAGTATGATTATTGCAGTTTCAATCACAAGGAAAAAAAAGGTAAGCTTGTAAAAAGAATCAACATAATAATCACAATTAAACAACTTACGACTATACAACATAGACAATTGGATCAATACACAAAGCAATCTAACATAACAACTTTCAATTTATCAACAATGTAGCATACACAACCTACACATAGAACAACTTTATCTCAACAACATGTTCAAAACAAAAACAATATACAACAAATGTGTTGTCATGCACATCAACTAAAGAGATCTCCTACAACAGGGGTGAGTAGTTTAAATAGTTAGACCTTAGCGAATCACAACATTTGATCTATTATGGCCAAATTACGTATAGACAACTTCAGGTCTCTCAGAGAACTTGTTTAATAACTTAATTTGATTTCTCAAGTGTCACCACTAAAACTAGGAAGTATAGTACTATGTTAGGGTAGAATAGTTTGGGTATGAGTCTACCATGACATTAGCTTGCAACACTAAGCCATGTATGGGATTACTCTAATGACTACCATCCAAATACTATGTCTTTCCAACACTCAGCTAGGAACTAAGTTCCTGACCTTGTACCTTACTTAGTTGGTCACTTTATACATATATGTCTCGACCTTACCCACATACATAGTCTACATGAAACTTAGAGGAGACAATTTAAAACAATTACCCATTTAGAAGTAAACTTACTCACTAAGGAGTTTCAACTCGGGCTCTTAGAACACCACAACTTATGTCTACACAATGAGATATTTTAATTTTTAAAATAACTTTTTACTCTCCTATAGTTTTTATGTATCTCAACAATGATTGTATCATCATCACATGCCTAACAACTTAACAGCTAAATCAACTATAACATCATGTAACTTTACAACTTAATCATTTATCAACTTACAACTTATCAACATAAATATCACTATACATTATCTCAACTCAATGCATAATGAATCATCTACATACAACATTCATCATATCAACAAATCATCATCTTTCAATCACCAAACAACTTGGAATATTACATAAAATCATACAACTCAAACTCAGGGCTATCCTCTAGGCTCTCAGCATTAGGGAGGCAAAGGGTTTCCTATCTCGCCCACGCCCAACGCCAATCTACCTGCACTTGG